TCCTTCCCTTGATCGATCGAGCAGTCGAGCAGGAACGTTCTCAGAGTTTTCAGAGAACCATACGTCTCTTGCTCAAAAGTTCAACATCCATGTCCTCAAAAATGATTTATGGTGGACGTTGAACTCACACGAGGTCATACATTGAATCTCTACCCCATTAATAATATCTAAGAATATGTTAAACCGGACATTATCAATGATAACACGTGCATGACTCAGCTGTAAGTTCAGATTTCCTATGTAATGGAAATTGTTTGCTTCTATTCTTTTTTTACTCTTTAACTTTCTGTCCAAACAGGAGTTTTAATAGTACCGGACACATTGACATATCTTTCTCTATCAACCTTTTCTGTGTATTTTCTTGCTATAACCCACTAGTCCGGACCTCTGTCTAAAACGTATTTAAGTTTCGATCACACCATGCCATGTAAGGAAATGAATGTGCACATACACTAGAGGCCTAAAGAAACGTTGCCCTCCTACCTTTATGAATTACTGAAAAACTATCAAAGATATTTTAGAAGGTTTTAGTTTACAAGCAATCTTAACAACACAGCTTTATGCAAATCACGAAACAAAATCTCAAATGCATTCATATTTTGGTGAAATGCATCTTTTGAAGAGTTAAATTGTCCTATATTCGTCAATGCCGAAGTAAACCAATAATAGTGATTTTCAGGTCCAAAAGAAAGGTTGAAATAAAATTCTGCTTTGGGACAATGATAAACCACTTAAAGTTACCATTTTTCAACTATTAAAACAAGAAACAACTGTTGTAGAGTGTGTAGAATTGTAACCTAATCATTGCTGTGATTTCATTTTTTTTAAACATTTTCTGTGAAAGTGAAAACAAGTAAAACGTGTCTTTGAAATTGTGAAAAATGTTTAGGAACATCTAAAATTATGTTTGTTAACATTTTTGCTTGCAAAGTAACATTTTTCCATTTTCTGTTTACACATAGCAATATCAGTCGCCAAAACGCAGCAATATTCAAGCAGTATTTACATCCATTTCACATGTAGAATGATTCTGTAGAGTATAAAGAGAGCCTAGAAGACATGATCTGATACACAAGTACGAGAAATATGTCACGATTAACAGCTGAAGTGAGAGAAAGAGCCATTGGGATGGTGCAGATGGTCGACGTACAATGCTGTTGCCAACGCCCTTGAATGCCACTGTAAGACTTATTCAGGGCTTCAGACAGACAGACTGGGATCACCCAGACCAAGAAGTGGACGTCCACGCATCACAACGCCAAGTACATCCGTCATTAAGGAAGGAGGGTAACGTTTCTTTTGGCGTTTAGTGTATATGTTATGTTTTGTGCCCGATGCAACGTTCCATCTGCGAAGCGTGGATAAAATACCGTATGTTACCTCTCCCTTCGTGCGACCACAGAGAACCCGTCATGAATATCACGTGATGGTGAGTGTCGTTGTGTGTCAGAGCTAGGTATCACGTGATGAGGCGAAGACTTTAATCACAAGTTTACCCATCAGCCACTTGCATGTCAACGTGTTAAAGTCACATCTCCTATTGACTTCATAAGTGAGTCAGTGAGTGAGTCAGTGAGTGAGCGTGTGTTTGTTTTACGCCGCACTCAGCAATATTCCAGCTGTACGGCGGCGGTCTGTAAATAGTCGAGGCTGGAGCAGACCATCTTGTGATCAACAGCATTAGCATCGATCTACACAACTGGGGTACGATGACATGAGTCAACCAAGTCAGCGAGCCTGACCACCCGATCCCGTTAGCCGGAGTGAATTGCAGCGGGGTTGAGTGAGTTAATAAGTGATTTGATGAGTGAGTGAGTGAGTTGAAGCGATAGTGAATGAGTGAGAGAGTAAGTGCTTGAGGTGAGGTGAAATTGGGTTTAACGTCGTGCTTGAGAATATTTCGCTCATATGACGACGTGCATGCGTGTGTATGTGTATGTGCGGCTGCTTGTGCTAGCCCAGACTAAAGCTGGTTTTATAGTGCTAGCCCACTGAGATACCATGCCGCAGTGAAGCATGAATACCCCACTCAGACACATTATACTGACTCCGAGCCGACCAGTCCTTCCTTGTTGTGCCCATTAATGCCGAGCGCCAGGCAGGGACCAAAGTACCATAGTTTAACGTCTTTTGGTATGACACGGTCGGGGATCGAACCCGCGACCTTCCACTCTCTCGGGCGGACGCTCTAATCACTACACCACGGAGGCGGTCAGTAAGTGCTTGTAAGTTAGTGGGGAATCAAACCTAGGTCGTTAACAACCGGGATATCTCACAGCCCTGTACATCATGACCGTATCTCAGTCACGGGTCAATACATTGGCTGACCAGTGTCAAAGGCATTATGACATCTACAAAGGTAGCTTTCAGTTCAGGCTCAAGGCAAGCAAGGTGAAAGAGAAAATTTGTTCCTATTCTGATTTGTGAACTCCGATGAACGTTGGTCAAGGTCATTTGCAGGGTGATTTTCTACTTCAGGCCACGTGCGTTTGGAAGTAGACTAAGGCTTAGTCTCTGAATATATATAATTTTGATAGTAACAAACAAGCCCATTTATATTGAAAAGGAGCCGTAGAGAGACCAGAGATTCAGAACCTGAACCTGAGGAAATCTAGACTTGCTTTATTTAGGGCTTTAGCACTGCAGAGAGGGCTTGGCAGTAGGGAAATTAATGTGGTTCAGGGACTGTGAGACAGACTAGTTTGGAAGATACATTACGCTAGTGTCACATGACCTGCGAGCTACAACCTTCAGATCTAAATTGATATGGTTTACAGACGTATAATGCTGTCAAAAGTAAAACATTCTCACACAAAATAAATAAACATACGCCCATAAGTTCTAAAGAGTTTTATAAGTTCTTAATAACTATTTCTCCAGAAACATTATAAACACAACACATTTCTCACAATATTGAGAAAAATGAACGTTGAACGTCTAATTAATTCCAATGTCTCTACACTATGTGTCATATTAACACAGCAGATTTATAGTCGAAGATTTTGAACTATAACATATTTGCTTAGACATCATCACATGTACTCATGTGGAGATCTCGTCTCAGTAAAGACTGTGTTTATCCAGTTCGGAACAACAAATTTTGTCTTCCCCTCTACAGATATTTTTGTACAAATTTAAACTAAAATATTCATATAGATTTAACTTATGGTGCAATGCACCCGTGAATATCCGGGTTAGAATTGATCTTTAGTCGGGTCAGTCAGGATCGGGTGTTTAGGCTCGCTGACTTGGTTGACACACACCATCGTATCCCAATTGCGTAGATCGATGCTCGTGCTGTTGATCACTGGATTGTCTGGTCCAGACTAAACTTTACTCACTCACTCACTCAGTCTGTCATTCCCATCATTTTGATATAAGACATTCAAAACAAGTTGTCACTATGCTGCATTGCATCACGAGCTACAAGAATTGTCGTAATTTTTAGACAACATTATTCCCAGACAGAAAAAATGCATCCAGGTATTTATAGTCAGACACCGTTGTGTCGAAGTTGGATGGACCCATGCGAATACTTCGAATAATCCGAGGCTCGACACTACCGTTAATGATGACTAAATAAGAAAAATGCCACTACTTCGAGATAGCCGTACGGTCAACATCAAAATTCGACACAACGGTGTTAAACTGTATATGTAAATATCCTCCCCGTCATGTCGCGTAATCCGAGCTCTTTCCGAGTCAGGCTGATCGGGCGAGGAGTGACATGTCAGCATGTCTTCGCCCAGCTGAGTGAAATTCCCACGTAACGCCATGTGCGGATAATGTCATCCTCGCGCATTCAGCTCATTACAGATGGGCCCGTCTCAAATACACCGTTTTAATCAATCATATATCTCGTCTACAACCTGCACTGTCACTTGAAACACTGGGAACCAGCCACACGGCTCAGTACTCTCACGTAGATGTAATGTACTCGACTTAAACCAAGGTTACTGGTTTACATCACTCCCTTTGATATACAGTTCTTTAAGTGTTGCCGGTATGGAACAGGGTGTACACCGAGCTTTTTGATATACAATTCTTTCAGTGTTGGTGGTATGGTAAAGGGGTCACACAGAGCATCGGATTGTTTGCCTGTGAATATTGTAGTTTCATTTACTTCTGTATATTATTTATATTAATGGTACATATGTTTTATTGTTAAAGGGAATTTAGCGTGAAATGTTGCTAAAGGGTACACACTCAGTCATCTTACAGGACGTATGGGCGTTGTTTAGATATGCAATTTTCTGAAGTAACAAAAATAATACAGGTGATATTTAGCTTCACTGGGTTAATATTTAAGAGAACAAGATCAATTTAGGTGTTCTCCTTACCAGACGTGCTCCCCTTGACGTACATACGTTTAGTAAATCTATAGTAAGCAATGTATACAGGTATATGGTCTTACAAAAGTGAAATTTCAGGACATCAACGACAGTACAAATATTGCGTATTGGTTATTTCCTCCTATGGAAAATGTAACAGTATTCTCACACTGTGCAATGCTAGCGTCAAATGGGTGATGGGGTAGTCCAGTTGTTAAAGCGCTCGCTCGTCACACCGAAGGAATGGGTTCGATTCCCCACACTGGTATCCTGTGCGAGTAGCCCTATTCTAGTGTTCCCCCACAGTGATATTACTGGAATATTAATAACAGCGTAATTATAAAGCGACATCCTTGCAACAAAAGCAGCACAGTGTGTACTGTATGTAGTCCTCTTTCGCTTTGTCATCTGGACATTTACTCTGTTTTCTTTGCGCTGCGATACATTTAAAATATTGGCGGACATTTGACGTGATGTATTGAAATACGTATTCAAATAAAATCTGATCCTCGGATCCTTTAGACCAATACCCCTAAGAAGGCGAGTATTTCATAAAACAATTCATCTCAGGCTAAGTGAGTGAGTATGGTTTTACGCCGCTTTTAGCAATATTCCAGCAATATCACGGCGGGTCAGGCTAAGATTATATAATGACACAAACACACAGTGTAACAAAACATAGATTTATTTCTCTATCTCGGCTATACACAGACACCGTTCAATAAACACATAAACAAAATATACATCGACATGCATACCAAGAAACGAAGCCATTCAGAGAGCTATCCGATTTCTTGTTACACCATTTGAGTTTTCCCAGAGGTATAAATAAATGTACTTAATTCTATTAATGAATAATCCAAAGGTACAAGACACATTAACGTAACCCAAAGAACACTCTAATGTAGAGCATGTATTTATGATTCGCTATCAAATATAGATGCCACCAGGTGTTGAAAAGGTTGAAATTTGGATACTTCCTCCACGTCTTCCATGAAATTTATCGAAAGCTTTGTCGAGGCCTTAAACGCCTTAACCGTGATCAAACAAAGTTTTTTCGCAAAAGTCGTATGAAATGAACAAACCAAATGTCCTATGGCGCAACTATTTCACGCCCTATTCGCGATCAAAGTGACGTTAATTTTGAACCTAAGTATAACCAGGAAGGACTTCATCTCCGACCCTCATTCACACATGTATCCAGGGTAAAACATATATTTCACAACCACAGACTAGATCAACACGTAATAACTGAACATCGACATCAAACTCCGCCATACAATAATGCAAGTAATAATAATAATGATGTTTTCTTGTGAAATACCGTTCTTAAAAAATCTTAAAGCATGCTGTTCAAATAAATTACAGCTCCGGATAAGCTGGCAAAAGATACATAAAACAGTAACCTGAAATGAGCTCGCAACTGACAATGATAAATATCAACATCTAACAACATGGAAGTAATATACATTAACATACACAATGAAACTGACATCAACACAAGGAACCTGATATGCACACACGAAAAATATACTCTTTATGATTATGTCATCGGCAAGAAGTTTCTTGAGCCAGTTAAAGCTTCAATAAGGGGATGCATGATTGGTGATAATGTCAAGATACATATATCAACAGGTACAGAGTGGGATGTTTTAGCTTCGTATCAATAGTTTTTCTTCTTCCCCCAATTAAATACCGTAATGCAATAATGCATTAATAATTGCAATGTTTCGTGCCTAGATCTGTCTGGTTGTTACAAAACAATTTCGTTTACAAACTACAAATGACAAAACTTCAATGTATCATTTTGTTATTAAGGTATCAACACAGGTGTAAATCTACACGACGTGAGGGAGTAAAGTATGTACAATGTCCAACCAACCGAAACAAACTGTTGCTTACAGGAAGGTGTCAGTGGCCGTATTTATGAATAACTAGCAAGGAGTGGTATACTAGCGCCCGTACACCACCATATATAACCGAACAAACACTAAAGGCACTGAATAGATGGATAACGTCAAACTGCATCATCAATAAAGTTGCTCATCAATAAACTTTGTCCTTATCCGAATCTCCAACTTCTAAAAATGCCACTCAAAGAAACTGAGTAGATGATTTGGATTAAAACAATCTAAATGCAGTTTACAATAATTTCTATTCCATATGCAGTTATTTACTAGTAACTTTGTATCCTTTAGTGACATTCGTTAAATATGTCCTTCAATACCAGCACTAACTATAGTCCTGGTAGGATGTATATTTAAGTCCCTCCTTGTGTCATGTAAATCTATGATGATCCTATAATGGCGGGTTGGACCAGTGGATTGGTTTCGTGGGTTGATCGGATGAGAGGCGGGGATGTTGAAAGCTTTTCGGGGTTAAATAATTGAAAAGATGATAGTTCTGGTTTGGTCAGCATCATATTAACGTCACTTCCCAAATTCACTATCATCAATACTGTAAATTAGAAGCCATTAATTAGCAATAATTTTATAATCCATGTAAAATCCACATTTCCACTATTTTCCCTCGACGGAAACTCCGTTTGTCTCGAACTATTGGTTACTCGATATGGTCACAGTGACTTTATGTTTTTATGATTTCAGCGTTTTTGTGAGCGAATATAAGGTTTTGTCTGATCCCCACGTATTTGCTGCATCATAACAGAGACTATACAATACATTATTTAATTATTATTATAATTATGGTCTCTGATCAAGAATAGCAGTCGAAGACATGTTCATCTCAAGTTGCAGTTATGTTTGGCAATAATTACGTGTATGTACTCATCATTTCTCCTGAATTTTGGTGATAATTGTTGGGAAGAAGAAGATAAAAAGACATCAACATTCTTGATATACTGATATTGTGTGAGAGAAGGCAACACATGTACGATGCAATGATATTGTGTGAGAGAAGGCAACACGTGTACGATGTAATTAACTCTATATAAACGCTCAGTGACAGTTAATTAAAACTTATGGTTACGTCAGCAATTTTTCAGCCATATTGACACAGAACGCTTAATGATGCATGATGAATGGGTGGCGTTTGTAAAAGAATAGTTAAAGAAAAAAGGGCAAATGTTTCACAAAGCAAATGCAAATATTCTAATTGTAACAGTAAGACCAGGACATTTCTTGAAAGAAACACTCCAAGTATCTCAACACATACAAAACAAAGCCCTGTTAATCTGGAACCCCTTTAACCCGCACACGTCATCTTCCTAGCGATTACTGCTTCTGGGAAAAGAAACTATGCGTACACAGATTCGTTAATCGAGAAGTGTATTCACAAATTCGTTAATCGGGAAATGTGTACGCAGATTCGTCAGTCCGGAAAATTCACTGGGTAAGCTACCGTCCGGTTTACAAAGGTTTCATTCTACATAACTACGGAAAACAAACTAAAGGAAAGACTTATTCTACGAACCATTGTATGCTTACAATGATAACCCAGGAGTTCGGGGCGGAAGTAAGTGTGGGGCCTAGAGAATGGAGCCTGGAGCCTGGAGCATGGTTAGCCCGCAATGTTATTTAAATGTACTATAGATCGTGAATTTGTAACTTGTTCCACTATAATACTCATAACAATCTCACAGTATCTCGTTATATTACCCCTGGTCCCAAGAGCAAATACTCTGTTTTAACCCATGATACAACAGATAACATTAGTAATGAGGCTAGCTGTCTTCTTCGGCATCTTCAGGTTGCTTGGATAACATGGGCTGTCTCTCCTCCTCAATTGGGGCTAACTTGTCCTCAAATTTGTTCATGACGTCATTAGACAAGTTGTTGGCCCCCTTTTGTCCATCAGCGTTCTGGGGGGCGTCCTCCTCCCTGATCAGGCGGTCATGTGGTGTTGCAGAATCAGTTTCTTCATCCGTAGTCTCATCCATGTACTTGATCTTGTCGATTCCGTTCACGTGCTTATCTGAAATTGAAAGAAAACAGTGAATGAGCCGGTAAAATTGGCGTGATGCTGCTTTGAACAGTAGTTCAGTGGCATCACAGCGTGTTAGAGTGAATTCCAGGCGCATCGGCACTATGGTTTTGCCATTCTCAAGAGACGCAGTTGGACACTAAGGAACATTAAACAACTGGAACATCCGAGTTTTCATTGAAAGAGGTTGTTGCAATCGATGTAGCATTGACGATATCTGTTTGGGGGTTTACCGGTACCTTTGTATTTCCTGTAAGCAAACCGAACTACATTTTGTACGTACACTTCAGAACGCGATACGTTGGACAATTCCAGATGTATAGCAGCGCCTATCCTCATCGTCAAATCCTGAACACAGGTATTGTCCTCACAAATCACATTTTGCCTATCAGATCGGGGGGGCTTTGATTTGAGATAATACTAGGATAAGAACAACGAGGCTTCCACGTTGTTCGCGAATTTATAGGCCGTAAGTCCTGTGTCGGATTCAAGTCGAGGACCTCCTGATTTTAGTTCATGCATCCTGTCCACATGACCAAAGAGGTTACCCCCCTGAGCAAGCTGACCAGATAGGGATGTCATCGGTTGCATGTCTCCACGCTAAGTTATACATACATAGGTGCTTGCTGGAAGACATCAATATACTCCCCGATCAATTCAGGAATAAAGGACGTATATGTTCACATCAAATCAATCATGTCCAGTATACACAGTCCTAAACATATAGATTGTGCATCTATTTTCCGGTAGTCTCATCTGGATAAACATGGAATCTTGTAGCAAATTGTGAGCAAGTATCGATGCTATATAAAGTAGTTATCACAATTATGTCAATGTTCAAAACGATACATGACATTTCCGGCTATATGGAAAGAAACAAAAGCGAGCATATCTGTTTAGGTGTACAAAGCCTGCAGTACCCTGACTTAATGGTGCAGCAGACAGCGGCTTGTTACTGAGCAGGACAACAGACTCGGTCCGGGGGCTAGAGGACAGAGGACTTCTTCTCTCGTAGGATCCAGGATCATATTTCCCTGGGGACCGTCCACCTCGGAACTCTATTGCTTCTGGGGTTCCGTTCTGTGGCTTGGCATCTTTACCTGCGTCCAGCTTCTGAAAAAGAATGAGTGAGTGAGCGAGTCGCGTGCAACGCCACATTGAACATTTATTCAGTTGTATTACAACGTATCAGCTTAATATAGAAAGAAACCCCGAAATCATGCAGAACTTAGACAATTTCTACAGTCCCATTACACCAACCTTCATGCTTTTGAAAGCGTGACGTTTCTTGCAGTGTCTGCTGGCGAAAAACCCTAGAGCAAAGAAGATGACTGCTCCAACAGCTACACCAACAATGACTGCCGTCCTCGTCCTCCCGTCCATGCTCCCCTGGGCCACACGTTCCTTCAAACATAGGATAGAGTTGCAGCAGATGTAATTGTACTTAGGACACAACTTAGGACGGAAATTCCACAGCAGAGGAACTTCCCAAAGAGCATATGCCGCATATTTTATATTGCACATCCAATCACAGTTCTGTGAATAATACGAACGTGTCAATGGAACCCAGTGGTTGATAGCATGATGATGTATCAATGAATCGGAATAAGATGTCATTTGATCAGTTGAGTGAGTGAGTGAGTGAGTTTGGTTTTACGCCGCTTTTAGCAATATACCAGCAATATCACGGCGGGGGACACCAGAAATGAGCTTCACACAAAGTACCCATGTGGGGATTCGAACCCGGGTCTTCGGCGTGACGAGCGAACGCTTTAACCACTAGGCTACCCCACCGCCTCTTGATCAGTTGAACACACATACATGCACTGCATGTAAACCACCCTCATAAGATATACTAGAATAGAGTACTGAAGATAAATAATGATGAACATGTGCGTGCGTGTGCCTGTGCGTTAGGGAGAGAGTGTGTGTGTGTGTGTGTGTTTGAGTGAGTGTGTGTGCGCTTTTGAGAGTGTGTATGTGTGTGCGTAAGGGGTAGGGTTGAATGGTTGTGTGGAGAGACATAAGACAGACGTAAGGGGTAGGGTTGAATGGTTCTGTGGAGAGACATAAGGCAGACGTAAGGGGTAGGGTTGAATGGTTGTGTGGAGAGACATAAGACAGACGTAAGGGGTAGGGTTGAATGGTTGTGTGGTAGAGACATAAGACAGACGTAAGGGGTAGGGTTGAATGGTTGTGTGGAGAGACATAAGACAGACGTAAGGGGTAGGGTTGAATGGTTGTGTGGAGAGACATAAGACAGACGTAAGGGGTAGGGTTGAATGAATGTGTGGAGAGACATAAGACAGACGTAAGGGGTAGGGTTGAATGGTTGTGTGGAGAGACATAAGACAGACGTAAGGGGTTGGGTTGAATGGCTGTGTGGAGAGACATAAGACAGACGTAAGGGGTAGGGTTGAATGGTTGTGTGGATAGACATAAGACAGACGTAAGGGGTAGGGTTGAATGGTTGTGTGGAGAGACATAAGACAGACGTAAGGGGTAGGGTTGAATGGTTGTGTGGATAGACATAAGACAGACGTAAGGGGTAGGGTTGAATGGTTGTGTGGAGAGACATAAGGCAGACGTAAGGAGTAGGGTTGAATGGTTGTGTGGAGAGACATAAGACAGACGTAAGGGGTAGGGTTGAATGGTTGTGTGGAGAGACATAAGGCAGACGTAAGGGGTAGGGTTGAATGGTTGTGTGGAGAGACATAAGGCAGACGTAAAGGGTAGGGTTGAATGGTTGTGTGGAGAGACATAAGGCAGACGTAAGGGGTAGGGTTGAATGGTTGTGTGGAGAGACATTAGGCAGACGTAAGGGGTAGGGTTGAATGGTTGTGTGGAGAGACATAAGGCAGACGTATCGGGTCGATGTAACTTCTTCAGGAATGCTCGAAGTTCATGAAAGGAACCGTGTAAACTAAACCATATAGTTCGGTTCCTTATTTCAAAGAAATCTCTACATGTACTGGAAAATAATTTAAAAGTTCTGTTCCAAACAAATTAAACGTCGGGACTGGCAGGTGGCAGGTGTATGGCAGGTGTAAGGGTTAGTGAGTGAATGGGGCTGGTGCCTTTGCTCCATACAGGACAGGGAGATCCTCGTTATATAACGCTGGCAATCACATATCAGTGTACTGTAAGTGTAAGGAAAAAGTGTCACCTTCATCTCATTTCCTCACGAACATGGACCACGTGAAATTTCTCGGATGGTTGTGTACGTGGGGCATCTTTGTATATTCATAGCAGAGGATTTACAGCAAATTGTTAAGTTGCTTGCTTACGTAGGTGCATGTTACATCTCACATCAGTGGGAGAGTGAACTGGGTAGGAAATATTACCGTTATATCACGGAATGTCAGCATAATTATAACATGGTAATATTTGTCGACTTGTGTTGTGCTTTTCCATGTGGATATGAAAGCACGCCATTTTAATTCAGGTAAATGTATCAGTTGGCGCCTTAATGCCATCCTTAGCTTTCTGGAGAGTATCAAAACCACCTGCATTTTAATGTCATGTCACAATCCTACCGGGTACCCAGTCACCACTATGTGAATAGATACGTTTTAAGAAAAGTGTAATTTGCCACCAACGACAATGCCAAATTGATGTAGACTGACTTAGGCGTTGACTTAAAAATAGCCTGGCAGGCCTTGGATGATTACCATTTTGAACCTGGGATTTGAACCCACGAGGATGATGGTATGCGTATGGGACACAAAATCTAAAAATGTCACCGTCAGAGAATGGACGATCTCAGTTATCTGCCGAAACAGATTCTAAAAATGTAGGATAGGGAATTACGTGTATTTTGTATGAATGGATAACTCAAAATCAGGGAGACACTAGAAGTTGACATAACGTGTACGCATATCCTGCTCTACAGACGTCACAGCCCATGACTCCGGCATATAGAATAAGTGAGTGAGTGAGTGAGTATAGTTTTACGGCGCTGTTACACATATTCCGACAATACCATGGTCGGCGACACCAGGAAAAGGCTTCACACGTTGGGGAATCCATCCCGGGTCCTGTAAATAGAGGTTTCTGAATGGTGAGCTGTACACAATGCTCTAATGTTAAAACCCAACTCCCGGTGTAGTTCCCTCACCTCGTCCACACTAGCTTCCACTTTATTTTCTTCAGCTGGTTCATCCGGGTCGATTTCCATTTCAAGCAGTGGATTATCTGAATTTGTAAAACAAGACAATCTGCCACAATCGAGGCTAATGCAGACTTGATACAAGAAAATGTTTTATTACAGTTAAAACGATCAAGCTATGTGATTGCCCGAACACGGTCATGTAACACACATTTAAAGTGGGCTGGCCTGCATTCACGGTCAAGAGCTATTACAATTTGCTGCAAGTATTACAATTTACGTTTTTATTACAATTTACGTCGTAACAGGCATCTTGACGTAATACTGTTTAATGTCACGTCACTTGCTTGGTGCGTAGCTTGTAAAGAATAAATTGTTAATATGTCATATTTCATTCACTAAAGCTCGTGTACACCATTCCGCTGGTTAAATTGCATTCAGTTTCACTCATGTTGTTGTTTTAATCTTGTATGGCACAGCTTGTATGGCAATGCTAAAACAATCTGCGATGGTACTCAGATCGTTTTGTGAAATAAGGCCTCGCTAACATCTTACCAAGAGACACGGTGTTGTTAGACAATTCCTTTGTCAGAATGATGATCTCATCGGCTGGACGTGTGGCGTTGTCCAAAACAGCCACATCTTCACCATCGCCAGAGTAACCAATCTCCACCAGCAGCCTAGACGTGTCCTCCGTCAACTCAGGAACTTCTGTGACATTTACATGTTCGGCCATTGAGGCGTTTGTCATATCCTCCACCACCAGACCGCTCCCCTCCTCGTCCACGTCAAGTTCAACCTCTGTAGGAGCCGGAGAGACTTTCGCTTTTCCCAATGGTATGAGTTCATCTTCGCGAGCTTCGTTAGGTTCTACAGTGGCTGACTGAGCGAGAAGTTCTGTTATTTCGTCCATCTCTTCTCCTTCTTCTTCCGACAGAACATACCCACTTCCCTCTGACAGATCCACGCTAGATATGTCATGTACCTCCACGTCATCGCCCTTCTTGTCAATCTCAGTTGCCTTGAGAGGCTCGTGTAGAGCTTCTTTAAACACAATATCCCCTTCTTGGTCAATCTGACCCGATGATTCATCATCTGCTATATCACCTTCGTCATCACTTTCATCTATTTCCAAAAGTTTCTCGCCTTCATCGACGAGCACACGTTCACTCTTACCCCCATCCTTTTCGGGTTCATCGCTTAACATCTCAGCTGCATCTGCGTCAAGTCCCCAGCAAAACATTTTATACTGAGGACTTCCTCTTGCCTCCGATGAGGAACATGATTCGCAAAACACATCTGATGTTCTCGTACAGTGCTTCAGCTCGAATAGTCCATGACCACATTTTGAACAAGGATAGCAATGATCCAGAACGTTCCATTCAGGAAGGAAGTGGCCTTCTGGGCAGCGACGACATACTGTCTCTTTGGTGTCGGTGCATGATGCATGTGCATAGTATCCAGGCTTGCATCGTCTACAGCCTGACCTTCCCGGGAAACTGTCAACTGTCTGTAACAGAAACAACGCATGTTAAAGTGAACAAGTTCACTGGTAAAGAGTCATTTCTGGTTTCTGTTTGTGGTGATTACGGACAAGGACATAGTAGATGCAGTGTTTAAAACTCCCAACAGTGAAAAAAAATCAGGTTTCTGAAGACTTTACTGTGTGTAGGCATCGCAATGAACTACATAGCACTAACAGGCAATGCACCGAGTTTAGGTAAACTGGAAGTAAATGTGTTGTGATTGGTTATTGTAAAATGAACTGTCCAATCGTAAATAGTTTAACATAATTTTCATAATACCTTAAACACCTCAAACTGGCGACAAGAGAACCTGTCTGATATTATGATATATTTACTGTTAGGGTAAAAACATCTACCAGACCACCGGACAGGCTACTTTTGAAATTTGACCGTCCGAGATGAAAATAGACCGTTCCGGACGGTCGGGCAGGCGGGCATTTTAAACGCTGCTATATGTATTGAGGGTATTTTACTAATTGGACTGATAGACATGATACATCTGAGTTTACAGACAAAGTGTTTTGAATGTCTTCAATCAATTTGATGGGACTGATAGTTAAGCTTGGCCAAGACTTCCGTTAACATTACAGTGGTGGACATATATTCATGGAAACAAATAAGGGAACGCATGAAAGCCAAAGTGTTCCTTTATCCGTTTCTATACTTCTTAGCATGCATTGTATTGCACTGTGGGTGAAAAGCAGGAAAAGTATAGACCTTTATTTGTTTCCATAGCAGTATTACAGCTGTACGACGCCGTCTATAAACATAGGCCGGACATTCCAGTAATTGACACCATGAGATACGATGACAGAGCAATATGAACCTTTGTGTTTGCTATGAGCTTCTGGTGTGCATGACTTTGGACTTGCCATGAAATCTACCACTGGCAGTGGTATCTATATGATACTGAGACTTTGAGACAACACATATGACATCATGAGAGTCTATAACTGTATCATGATTTATTTCTCGGTTTCATTTGTGATTCAGGTATGCTGAATAAGACTTTTGAATGCATACAAAGCTTTAAAACAATAGCGGCAAAACGTTTTCTATTATCATCAAAGTGAGTGAGTGAGTAAGTTTAGTATTACGTCGCACTCAGCAATATTCCAGCTTTATGGCGGCGGTCAGTAAATAATCGAGTCTGGACCAGACAATCAAGTGATCAACTGCATGAGCATCGATCTGCGCAATTGGGAACGGATGACATGTGTCAACCAAGCCAGCGAGTAGTATCATCAAAGAAAACTATGACATAAGCATGTGTTTCTGGATCACTTTGAACGTGTGTTGAAAAGTGTATGCTGCACCATCAGTGGTATTCCAGCTGAGGCCTTGCAATAACCAAATGAGAATCAGACAAACCAGAGCCCGATACTAAATTTTATGTATGATCAGAGACCGATGCGAAAACGTTTTATCAGAATACGAACACCGGTATACAAGACCAGCTAGTTCTGGTTCGGTCGTAGGCGACCTTCCATCTCATCCCAGTCCTGATCTATGATGGAGAGGATTTCTGAAACGGTCGACTTTGGCAGTACAGCAATGTCATGCTGCCTAGATAGGCAGCGTGTGGGTGGCCATTTCCTGTTACAGTTTGAGATTATGTCCCTTCAGTTACTGAAAGGGTAGAGCATAATCTCGTTCGCCATTAAATTTGACATTAATAGTGGTGTTCTCTCAATGAGTTGTGATGCCACCGTACACTATTACATTACAACCCACATATTGACGACGCTGAGAAACGTTGAAATAACGTCTACTAACATCGATAAAGCGTTCTCGTGGATGCCTTTAGACCTGAGGTCATCTTGAACCAGTTTACTGTCCCAGTCTTGTCAAATGAAAATTCCACGTGCCTGACGCTGACCAGGAGGCAACATTTAGCATATCACTGGACGTCGGAACCGGAAGCGGTTGTCCCTCGACAATTCTGACACCAACTGGACTCATTCCAGGAATTGTCCGAGCTCTTAATTTGGCAGTGTAGAAATGATTCTGTAGATGCATCAACCGGATACGGTTGTCTTCACGTGACGTCAATCGTGCCGACCGGGCCATAGAATGTAATGAGTGTTGCCCTGCTGGAAATAACGTCTCCAAACAGATCTATTCCGTTTCGATGATCAGCAAAATTCAAAATTGTGCACCATTGCTTTTTGCAGTATACCCACGGCTCCTCAATGGCGATTTTCAACATTTCGTGTCATTGTGTAAGAGGTATTTGTAAAGGTGTTTGTATCAGCTAAGCATTCATTATGTGTTGTGCACATTAAAGAAACACGTGCCCCAAACAAACATGAAAACATAGAAACATCGGAACCGTGCATTAACGTGCACGTCCAAGGTGTGAATCACGACCGTAGGGTCAAGGAGTTGTCCTCATGTCTAAATGATAAAATATTTATCATTTAAATTCAGAATACTTTTCTGCAATTGTATAAGAAGCCTGACATAAATGGAAAACTGACATTTAACGCTAAAATATAAGGTTGCAACTACAACTGACTCGGGTCTGTTTTTCCATGAAAACCGCGCGGGGCAGTGATTTCTGATTCGTTTCATCGGCGTTGAAGCAATATATACATGTATGTTAATAATTTAACCATTACAGGTACATGACGTAAACACATGATCCATTAATACGCTTTACATGATGACTTTAAAACATATAAATTTAAAATTTCAACACGAAAACGCTTTTATCACTCATATGGCGACAGTTGACGTTTAGCTTGATAATGAGTCATGCAGGATGCCGGTCAGGGTAAACGGGGGCTAAATAGACTACCGCAGGTCACACGCCAGGTTCTAGACTAGCAACTCCAAAACTCGACAACCCTCGGGTACTAGCCAGGACAATATACATGATCTAGACAAGCAAATCTGTCTTCCCTGGAATAGTGGTCACGAGGTCACTCCCAAAGGAGGTCACCAGTGTGAAGGACAGTGCAATCAACATGCTAGACTTGCACAGGTCTCTAAGTTATTATTTATCAGTTGAAATGCAAATTTCTATAATAAAGAAATATAAATAACAGACTGACGCCCTTGTGCTTTCCGCTCATCTAGACCTGGGCCCCGTTTCACAAAGCTCTCGTGAGCGTAAGATCTCGTTACTTTCCTCGAAGCATTCGTACCTCCTATGTTACAGTATGGGAGGTACGAATGCTACGAGAAAAGTTACGAGATCTTAGGCTTACGAGAGCTCTGTGGAACTGGGCCCTATGCTTTAAAGATAGAATTACTATACATCCATGGGTTTAGTATTCAGTACAGCCTTGGAGCAAGGCTATCAGCATGCATACTCATAGTGATCTCCTGAGTAAGTGAATAAGCGTTGTCTTGAAAACTTCAAAATGCAATATCCCCGGTGTATGACGGCGGCTTGTAAATATTCGAGTCTTGACCAAACAATCAAATGATTGATATTCTGAACAACAATCATTGGGATACGATGACACGCAACGACAACAGTCATTGAGCCTGGCCATCCGATTCTTGATGTCGCCTATTAGTTAATAATAATAATGCTTTAAAGAAGAGTATGTTTGTGTACAAACAGTTTTTGTAGATTCTACTGAAATTCGGCGGATAAAGTATAAAATTCAGTTGATCATAACAGCTCCAAGGTGTTTGTATTCAGTGACTGTATGATGTAATAATCAATAGATACACATTGAATTCCGGGCTTTTTACTCTAAAATCTATCACCATATCCTTGGTTTTCTTTGACTCAGGATAAAAAAGCTGTCTTTGCGCCTATCGTAATTACTCTGTGATACATTAAATCATCGTTTTCACTTAAGTCCAGCAAGGGTTGCATCGTCGGCGAATGTAGGCAATACTATGACCACCAGTTCGATAAGTGGGGCTTATTCATGCCAGGATTCATACGTACTCTTAAGACCACGCTGAACGTTGAACCCGTCTTCTGTTCACCTTCAATATGAGGCTGAGTATATTTAATAATGTGTCCATTTATATAGCGCCAAACTCCACACTAGGTATGCTCATAGCGCTAACAATCAAGGCCATTATTACCCCGGATAACCCAAGCTGCCTGTTAGGCGCTAGAAGGTTATAGTCATATGACTTTTTTCCACCGGGTACCCATTTTCCTGCTGGGTGAACAGAGGCAATTTTGAACAAACTCACTTGCCTAAGGTGAGACCACATGTATCACATGTGCTTCGTTGTGGGGCAGGACTCAAGTCCTAGAAACTCTGAGGAGTCAAGCTGCCAAACACGGTCACCCATCCAAGGACTCTCCGAGCTCGACGCTGCTTAACTTCACCGATTTGTGACCTGAGCTTTAAGCACAGGACCACGCGCCACCAGTTAGGTTGGGGCATACCAGCTTGGTGTGATGCAATTGTTACATGTCTACCTCTTTGACGGAAACTCTGGACAGGATAAACGTGAAATATGTGAGTGAGTAAGGAATCGAACCCGGATCCTCGGCGTAGCGAGCGAACGTTTTAACCACAAGGCTACCCCACCGCCCATTTCCCACGCCGTTCGGTACAATAGCAGATTATCAACCAAATCATAGCCTCACCGCCTACTTCATTCGTATCGCCTGTTACCACAAAGTTAAAAAATGCCAAGATATCGTTGTTCTTTTAATCAGCTATGAGGCAAACAGCAGATAATGCTGATAAAGTCATTTTTAAGATTCAAACATACTCGTGCGTACCTGGGAAACATATTTATTCCACTTTACTTTTTCTTCTGTTAAACTTTTTTATGGTTTACGTTTTTGGCATATCGACCGGAGAATATCATCATCTTATCTGTCTTTATGCAGATGTGATCCTGATGTTATGAACTTCGAACTCCGCTTTGACTGAGGGCGGCTCGTTTCCTGTACATTGTTTTACACTGCACGGAGTATCAACCCTGTGTGAAGTTTGACGGGGAACAGTCAAGTGCAGAAGAAACGCTTCTAATTGCCCATGACGACGGTGAGTAT